TTTGCGCGCGGCTGACTCACATTTTCAACGACGAGAGAAAAGAACTCCGTCAGCTCCTTCTTAAGTATGCAAACATCTTTTCATGGCAAGGTGCAAGACTGGGACGAACGAATATCGTCAAGCGTAAGATTAGTACCGGTGAAGCTAGGCCCATCTGGCAGCCACCCAGGGAGAAGTAAACCATCTGGTTAAAAAATGCTTCGAGATGAGGTTATAAAGTCATCCAAGTCACCATGGGCCTCTCCTATCGCGCTGGCAAAGAAGAATGACGGCAGGCTCCAGTTATGCATCGACTATAGGAAGTTGAATGTCGCAACCAAGATAAATGCCTTCCTTCTCTCCCACATAAATGTCTCACTTGTCTCCTTACATGAGTCGCAGTGATACTCCACCCTAGATTTAAATTCGGGATGTTGGCAAGTGGAGGTTGCAGAAACAGACCGAGGAACGACAGCTTTTATATTGTCAAACGGGCTTTATGAATTTCTGACGATGCTCTTTGAATTCTGCAACGCAGAGGCCACCTTCCAACACCTCATGCAAACAGCTCTGATCACCCTATTCCCCAAGCATTGCATTATCCATCTTGACGATATTTTCGTTTTCGGTGGAGATTCTCAAGAGCACGATACCGACCTGAAACTAGTGTTGGATCGTCTACGGGATGCAGGATTAACCTAGAACCCGAAGAAGTGCCCTTTCCTGCAACGCTCGGCCACCTTCCTGGAACACAGTCTCGTCGAATGGGAATTTCCAGACAAGCTCATAAGTGATCGCGCCGAGGACGGTGCTAAAAAAAGAGGTGGCTATGTAATACCTATAGTGTTTTAATGTACCTTTCAGAGAGAAGGCAAGGTTACAAATCGAATCTGGTAATAGAGTCGGCATCTCCCAAGCCTGAGGGCGATTACCGATCCTCCCCTTGTTTTCCCGATCCACTTTCCTCTCATAAATAAGTCGAGATCAATCCAACCTACTTGATCTAAGAGTAAGATGAAGAGGAATGAGGAGAACTACGAGTCTAGAGCCACATAAATGTTGTTTAAAAAGTGGATTTTTTAATAATTGCACGATCGTATACCACTATACACTGATGAATAAATGATGCAAAATAAGACATGGTGGTATAGAAATGTGCTAATCACCTCCGACGCCTTCTTCGCAGCCTTGCCTGGCACTACTTTAGGAGCCATAACAACAGCAACCTCCTCTCTCTTCCCGTCAGTAAAACGCAACACAAGTCGCCAACACCGCCACCTCCACATCTATTTAACCCTTATCCTCCCCTCACCATCACTGACAAAGTTCGCATCACCACCAATGGCACAGCCACCAGCCAATCACAATGACAAGAACTCCATCAGGCATCCTTTCATTGGCCCGAGTTTGGAGCGAGGACGATGTGGCAACAGCCTTCTCTCTAAGCACCACATCTGCACGTGGATGCCACCATTGCATCACCGAATCAACACTTTACATCCATCGACTCAAACACGTATTATGCAGTCACATTTTACCCATCTTATGCATATTCTCTGTATGTTTAAGTGATAGAATCTTTTAGCCTTGCATAAATACACATGCAAATGCAAACACATATAAAAATGAGCGTTCTAAATACATGTAAGTGAAAAACCGGAACGCATAAAAACAATAATGCACAAAAGTTGTTTTAGAACATATCTTTCTATAGGTGCTCGGACGTGTACCACCATACTTAAATAAAATATTCATATTGATGAATAAATGATGAAAACTAAGAC